TTAAAACCATCTGTTTAAAAAAAAAAATCTTATTTTAAGCACCATGTACTGTTGTAGAATGGCAGTTAGAAGGGTAATTGTACCAAATAATGTTTGCTGTTTACTTGTAAAGGAATGTGATTTAAGGCTCCACTAGCTAGTAATATCTCAACTTATTCTGTGAGGGGTTTGTTTTCATTGAAATAAAATAGGTAAAATTTTAAAAATATGAAAGGATATACAGTTAAAATTCTCTTTCCTACCTCTGTTCCCCAACAACCAAGTTTCCTTTTCCAGAGGAATTTCATTGAAATAAAATAGGTAAAATTTTAAAAATATGAAAGGATATACAGTTAAAATTCTCTCTCCTACCTCTGTTCCCCAACAACCAAGTTTCCTTTTCCAGAGGAATCAGATTAACACCATACACACTGCATTTGTGGTGATATACTTATTCTATAATTGTTTTCTTTATTTTTAGTCTCTTTTAACCAAGTTTACTAATTGAGCTTGCTAAGGAAAGGTCTTGTATTGGGTACTAAACTGACTTTTTGTTCTGTTACTTTTAGTTTACATTAAAATATAAGATATAAAAAATTACAGTTAATATGTGATATCAGTCAAAAGATTAGTTATTGATCTAATTCTAGATCAGTGCTGTCCAAAAGAATTACAATGGAAGCCACATGTAATTTAAGTTTCTATTAGCTACATTAAAAAATTTTTTTTTAAATGTAAAATTAGTTTTTTGGTTTTTTTTTTTTTTTTTTTTTTTACCGGTAAGGGGATTGTAACCCTTGGCTTGGTTTTGTCTGCACCACGCTCAGTCAGTGAGTGCACCGGCCATCCCCATATAGGATCCGAACTCACGGCATCGGCGCTACTAACACCACAGCCTCCCGAGTGAGCCACGGGCCGGCCCTAAAATTAGTTTTAATAATACATTTTATTTAGCCCAGTGTATTCAGCATGTCAATATGTAATCACTATTAAAAAGTTATTTTTTTTTTTGTACTGTGGATTGACACTGATTTGAAACACTTCAAACAGCATATAGCGTATCACAATTCAGACTAGCCACATTTTAGGTGCTCAGTAGTGGCTATTGTACTAAGATACAGCTCTATATAACTATATCAGTTATTCATAGATTCCCGAGATATATTGTAGGATACTTTAATGAATACTTTCTGGTGTATAATAACTCTGATATTGCCGGTTATTTAGATCAACTGCTGGTTTAATTTGAGCAGAATTATTAATACAAACATGTATTACTTATAATTGATTCACATAGCAGTCTCTTATAATATGTAATAATCCAAAATAAAATAAAATGTGAATCTCATAAAAGGGACCTTGGAATTTCCCCCCCCCAAGAATTGTAGTCTTAATATGTTGTTCAGTTAAAAGGATCACCAAAATATTGAGTACCTCTTAAAAAAAAAAAAACAAAGTGGGCAGTGTTACCCTTCTTCAGATAAAGCCAGTCTGTTACTAGAAACTATGTGTAGTTATATAGTTGTCAAAAATAAGTAATTAGTGAAAGGAAGAGCACTAAAAATCACCAGAGACCAGGAGGTATTGCTGTTTGATAAACTAAGAAGGTGAAAAAGGATATAATTAAAATCTGTAAAATCAAATGCAAATGTAATGAAAACCTGAGTAGACTAAAAATGTCTTTTTATTACAGAAATTTTGAGACATGCACAAGAGAATAATCAGCTCTTCATGTATCCATCATGTGGCTTAACCCATTAATATTTTGGCATTCTTTTTTCATCTATTTCCCCTTCCTTTTTAAAAATTTTCTTGAGTATTTTAAATTCTGAACATATTTCACTCAGATGTTTCAATGTGCATGTCTTATAACCTCCGTTTTTTTTTTTTTTAGTTGTGACCTCCATGCCACTGTTACACCCAACCAATTTAACAGTGATTCTTAACATCAACATGTACTAGCCTATATTTGAATTTCCCTAATGATTTCTAAATTACTTTATTTCAGTTGTTCAAATCAGTAGCCTAGCAAGGTTCACACTTTGCTTTTGATTACGTGTATTGTCTTTTTTTTTTCAATAGCTGTCGTCCCTTAAGTGTTTCCAAAGTCAAAGTTATACATATTATCTTTTGCTATGTAACTATTACACTGAAATATAGATGCTTAAGACAACAAATATTTATCATCTCATACACTTTCAAAGAGTCAGCGATCGGGGTAGTTATGGCTCAGGGTCTCTAATGAGATTGAAGTCAGGGTGACTGCTGGGCCTACAGTCATCTGAACTTTAATCAGCTGGGGGATTCAGTGCCTCACCACATGGAACTCTCCATAGGTAGGGAAGCTTGTATGACCTCATGACATAGCAGCTTCCACCAGAGTGAGTGAGAGACAGTAAGGTACAAGGTGGCTGTCTTTTATGACCTGTCCTCAGAAATGTCACTGTCATTTTTGCAATATTCTCTTGGTGATCCCTATTCAGTGTGGGCTCACAAGGGAGTGGATACTCATGTATGTGTTTATTTATTGTTCTTTGGTTATTTTTGTATTGTGCAGTTAAATCTTTCTAATTTCTAAGAGTAGAGGAAACCAATGCATGGTCATATGCTGTCCATGTGCAAAAGTCATTGGGGGTTGTCATGGATGCTGGCTACCACTCTGTGTAACAAAATACATTCCAAGAAGTCTCACCGTTATTCTTTGCTTCATCCTCTTCTCTTTTTTCCCTTGGAGATTTTTTTTTTTTTTGGCAGCTGGCCAGATCAGAGATGGAACTTTGGACCTTGGTGTTATCAGCCCTGTGCTCTAACCAACTGAGCTAACTGGCCAGCCCAGTAATTTTTTTTTATTACTTTAAAAAAAAATTCTATCATTGATTGTTTTTGAAAATACAATACATAAAACATAGCTTATTTGTATGTTTTTTTATTACTCAAAACGTCATTTACTATAAAGTCTCTGCACTTTTTTCACTTAATATATCCTGTAGCACTCTCCTTTCAAGTATGTAAAGATGTTTCTCTTCTTTCTTCCCAATACAACTTCTCAATTAAATTTCAGAATACTGTGACAGAGAAGTCTCACTTGGAGTTGGATGAAGACAGTTTGAAATAAGTAAAAGGAATACTTTGCAGAGATAGTAATAAACCTCTGTAAATTTTAACTCTACGAGTGGTATTTTCAAAATGCATTTGTAGCAGTTTAGGAAAATATGCAAAAAGAAAGCCAACTTTAAGAAGAGTTATACTCTATAAATTTTTATTGTGGAACACAATTATGCTTTTTGAGCGGGACTTCCTTCAAGTCATTGATGACAGCAGTCTACTACATGGAGCTTTAATCTCAGCGTTTTTGATGATGCCTAAGTTAATATTTATATTAAATGGCTTAACATGTGCAAAACTACTTTGTAAACTAAAGCTTTGGAGTTATTCCTCAGTTCCAGTGATGGTTCTTCACAGCTGTTGATGGTTCTCTTCTTAGCCGTTGACCTCACAGAAATTGCTTAATCTTTCTTTACCTGAAATAGGGATTACTAGTGAGGTTGACCTTTTTTTCACGTATTTATTGCCTGTTTTTTGCTCATTTTTGAAGTTAATTGATGTCATACATATTTCTCCCTCTTGATTATATTTCTGTACCAACTTACCTTTTATTTTAGATTCTATTCTAAAATTTAGTTATGAAATATAACCCAAGATTAGGATGGTATCTAAATTTGGTTAACTTATGTGCTACCTTTTATGCTATCTATTAGTCTAAATCATTAAGAAAGCATTTAAGAAACTTGTGAGGTTTTTTTTGTTGTATTTGGGGAAGGAGTAACAGCTTAAAATATAATTGAGCAGATTGTATTTTTATTATAAAAAGCATACAATTGCTTGCTAGGAAATAAGCTGGATATAAATACAGGCATATCTCATTTAGTGCTGTCCAATGAGCGGCACTCAAAGATACCTTTAGGGCTGAGCAGCCAGTACAGTAAAGTGGGCTCCATCTCTTGATCTAAGGCTGTAAGTGCTAGTTGCCTACTATACCTTAATTTGAATGGCATTTGATAATGCATTTACTTTTTTTTCCACTACTTGTCTCACTTTCTACCATAAGTATACGATTTACCCATAGTCTTTTGATGAACAGCAGGTTGTTTGAATATTTTCAAAGAATAAGCCAACATACGATTATTTTAAAGGTTTAAATACTAACTAGATATTAAAATGCAAGTTTTATTGCTACTTAGGCATTAGATCTAGTTAAATCCACCATTGAAACAACTGTAAAGATGTAGAGATCATAAAGACATAAACCAATAAATTCTTGCTTGTTTGAAAATCACAGTTTATAAGTCTCTAAAAGGCTTCTCCATGGGAACAGTGGTCTACTGACTCCAATAGGACAGATTCCCATGACCAAGAACACACCCCCAGGTCTGCTGTTATTAAAAAAATGCAATGAAGAACCATTTAGGCTTTATTATATCCCATGTGATTGACTAGGATATTCAGATGTTGGATATTCATAGAAAATCAAACTGTGGTCAAATTCCAAAGGTGTCTGCACTCTGGAATAAAAGACATGCAGTTCCTTGCCACCAAAGGATCCATTTATATGGTAACAGAGGTCCAAACCTTTAGAGGACAGATATAGTGCTTTGGGAAAAATTTAGGAGCTATTAATGGTCCCTTTTCTCAGATTTTTATTTATTGATTTTCAACTCACTTTTACTGAACTTTACCAGAACTTACCTGTTAGCAGTTGGGTTTGAAAAAGATTGGTTGTTATGGAGTTTATGAAGTGGTAGCCATGAGTGTTATGTCACTTAATGTTTGCTGCTCATTAGAGCTCTGTGCAGTTAATCCACAACAGAGTAATCATACTTCTTAAATTGTTCATCCTCTTCTTCATAGACATTCAAAGGGGAACAAATGCATTCTTGTGTATTGTTACCCAGTGTATTTATGTATGTTTGAATGGGGAGAGAATGTAAATGTGCCTTAGAAAGTTTTTTCTCTGCCAAGTTAAACCTGCCTCTTTTCCTTGTATTTTCTTTTTTTAGGTCAGATGTACCAACAGTACCAGCAACAGGCTGGCTATGGTGCACAGCAGCCACAGGCTCCGCCTCAGCCACCTCAACAGTATGGTATTCAGTATTCAGGTGAGCGGGTGTTGAGAGGGAGTTGGGTCATGGTTTTTGATATGTTTCTATACTCACTAAACTTTAAGCTCTTCCCGTTAATTTCTTGATTTGTAATACTTACATTGTCATAATAGGTATTAAGTGTTTATTCATTAGGGAAAGCAACATTTGTTTTATTTTTAATTTTTTTGCATAAATATTTCATTGTAAACCAATATTTCGGTTTTCTAGTGGACAAATAAAATTTATAATCACAGTAGATGATTCTGCAGTAATTTGCAGTATAAAAAAGTTTTTTTTAAATACAAAGCTCTCTCTTACTAACATGATTAGCTTGCCTCTTAGGTGACTTAGAACTGCAAAAAATGCAAGATTTTTCCCCATTTGTATGTAACACATAATTCCACTGTACTTAGTACCCATAGAAAGATTAACAGTTTCTTCATACCTGGAAAGGTGGTCTTGTTAATAAGAACTAAATTAAGTTATTTAGGTTTTTAAATCTCTTGAAAATATGTAGGAATATCAAAAATAAGCCATAAAAATAAAATTGTGTGAAATATAATTTAGGTAACTAAGAACACTAAGTTTAGTTGTTTAAATAAACATTCTGAGTATTTTTTTGTTTTACATCTGTCCACTGAAAATTATCTGTGTTTCAATACGATAAATCTCTTTCATGTAGCTTTGGTTATAATTCAGATAATTTTACATTTATTTCAAAGAGAGTTTGTGTTCAACTCTTGGTTTACATCCACAGATTTATATATCAAAATTTCAACAGTAATTAAAAATTTGTGTAAGTTGGATCTTGTCTAAATTCTATTTTTTGGAGTTTTGTAGTATCAGCTAGAGTAGGGGTCAGCAAATCTGGCCTGTTGCCTGTTTTTGTGAATAAAGTTTTATAGGAACACTTCCACTCCCATTCATTTCTGTATTGTCTGTTTTTATTTTGGGAGAGTTGAATAGTTGCAGCAGAGACCAAGTGGCCCACAGAGCCTAAAATATTGACTGACTGGCCCTTTACAGAAAAGTTTGCTGACCTCTGACCTAGACCATAAAATTCTGTTATTAATTGGAGTTTGACATATTTTAACACAGCAATTTTATTTGAATTGTATTTGCTATAGAGTGACTTAACCTGCAGCTGCTAGTTTTTATTCGTGTAAAATAGGTGGAATGAGCTTAAGCTTGGATATTTTTAGGATGTAGTCCTTTAAATTAAAAAAAAAAATCAGTGTTACAAATTACATGCTTTGTAGAAATAATAGGATATCAGGGCTGAAGGGATCTAGTCATCTATCACCTAATACAGGGGATTTCAGCACTCACTGTGCTTCAGAATCACCTGGGGGGTTTTGGTGCCTGGGCCCCACTCCCAGGGATTTTGTTTGATTTGGTTGGGCATGGGACTCAGGCTTTGGTATTTTAAAAGCATCACAGTTCATTCTATTGTGCAGTCAGGGTTGGGGACCATAATTTTGTCCCACCCACTCATTTTATAAATGAGGCAACTAGGGTTCAAAGAGGTTGTGACTTGTTGAAGGACACACAGCCATTCAGTGGGGCAGTTGGACCAGAACCTAGTTCTCTTGACTTTATAGTTAAATACTTCCCTGTATCATTCTGCATTCTCCAACCTAGACAATGAGTTGGCAGACTTTTTTCATGAAAGGTTAGATGATAAATATTTTAGGCTTTGTGGACCATATGACCCCTTTCTTAAACTGTTCATTTATTCAGAAAAACACAGAATTTTCATTTCTTACAATTTATGATGTTCTTCACCAAAAGTTACTCATTTATTTTGTATTGGGGGGGTTGGGGAGGGAGTGTGGAAGGGAGGCTATGCACATAGTAGAAGCATTGCTACGTTATGATCAAAAGTCTGGTAGGCTGCTAGTGAAATGGCATTCTTAATCCTTACGGTTATTCCCTGTCCTGAGCAATAATTAAGGATCTGGTTTCTTTCAGATACAGTTTAAAAAAAGTTTTAGATTTTATTTGCTGGGATGAAAAGGCAGCTTTTTTCTTTTCCTTTTTTTTTTTTTTTTTGGCTCATAGTTTTAAATTGAATAGACATTTGCAGTATAAAGTTGAATCCATCTATTTCTCCAAAAACTTAAGAGTAAAAAATTCATTTAAAAAGTTTTATGTAGAGGATAGGAGAAATTGTAAGACAGTCAAGATTTTATTATGAATTGATTTTCAGTATTTAGTATTAATATGCTGCAATGAGTAAAATGCTTTAGATATTTGGTGTACTTATTAATAACTAAGCTTGCTCTTAATAATTTTAGTCAGGGTCTTCAGGCTGAGTAAAATTTAGGGTTTTTTTGTTTTTTTTTTCCCAAATTATTACCTTTGTATTTCTGATCCCACTAGTCCTATTAACTTGAATTTGATTGAGAAATATGGTTAATAACTAAGCTTGCTCTTAATAATTTTAGTCAGGGTCTTCAGGCTGAGTAAAATTTAGGTTTTTTTTGTTTTTTTTTTTCCAAATTATTACCTTTGTATTTCTGATCCCACTAGTCCTATTAACTTGAATTTGATTGAGAAATATGTAAATAGTCATCTAAACACTCTGCTTAGAGATTCTAAATGGTGATGGTAGTGGTAACATGGGACCATCTTTGACACATTGTTGGTTTGCCAGTTTCCCTCTGTGACCTTTTCCAGTTTTGTTCATGGACTGTGTCATAAAGGTTTCTTTCATGAGTAAATTTTGAACCCAGGTTCAAGGTGAGTTCAGAATATACTCAAATTCATTCAATCCTTTTTTTTAAATGCAGGGTTGTACATATTTTAATAATTTTCTTATGTATCTGGTATTTAATGCTGACAGGATTCCAGTCAATGGAGAGGTTTCATTGCAAGTAGCTGCAGGTGTGTTTCATGCTAGAGATAAAAGTTTTTAGTGAAGCAGACTTTCTTTTTAAAAAAATTACATCCTAGTAAATAATGAATATAGATGTTGATTTTGTGGGGCAATATGGTTTGCTTTTTGTGTGTTATGCTGTACCACTAAGTCAAAATTTTGAGTTGTAAAAAGCAAAAGCATCTGATACCAAATCTAAAAGAAATGAAAGATTTTAAGGATAGTGAAATGGTTCTTAGTATTTATCCTTAAATGGCTTAATTTTTATAGACTGAATAAACTTTAAAGCATCTCATTAGTACAGTAAGATGTATTTGTAGTATTGTTGTTTCATTTAAAAATGTTCACTCTCTGCATTCTGTTTTCATTTGTTACTGTTGTTAAATAGGCCTCCCCTGAAAATCTGGTTAATGACTATTTAACTTGTACATTTTTGGTCTTCCTAGAAGGTATAATTCCTTAATTTATTATTTGAGCATCTACTCTTTACTAGGAATTATGCTAGAATAGGAACTTGCTCTCAGGGATAATATAGTCTCAAAGCAGTAATGATGAAGATACATATATACCACGGGTCTTCAAAAAGTCTATGAAAAGTTAGTATTATCTTTTAATTCTGTTTTTCCACAAACTTTCTGAAGTACCTTCATATGTGGTTTCAATTTAAGATTAGAGTGTGTAAGAAGTTGTCTAGAAAATATCTCTTTGATAACAGTTGATCTTGAAATAATATATGATGGAATCTACCACTGTACTTGTTACATAAATATTTGAACAAATATGTTAAATTTCTCAATTTTAGTCCATAACAGTAAGACTGATTCTCTGGAAAACTTTCACCAAAAGAGAAATAAGATGTATATGTCATTTATTTTGCCTTTTCAGCAAGCTATAGTCAGCAGACTGGACCCCAGCAACCTCATCAATTCCAGGGATATGGCCAGCAACCAACTTCCCAGGCACCGGCTCCTGCCTTTTCTGGTCAGCCTCAACAACTGCCTGCTCAACCGACACAGCAGTACCAGGCGAGCAGTTATCCTCCACAAACTTATACTGCCCAAACCTCTCAGCCAACTAATTATACTGTTGCCCCTGCCTCTCAACCTGGAATGGCTCCAAGCCAACCAGGGGCCTATCAGCCAAGACCAGGTTTTACTCCACCTCCTGGAACTACCATGACCCCTCCTCCAAGTGGGCCTAACCCTTATTCACGTAACCGTCCTCCATTTGGTCAGGGCTATACCCAACCTGGACCTGGTTATCGATAAAAACGCTCAGCTACACTGATCAGTTATAGCTGCTAGCTATTTGCCTCCCAAAAGACTCCAATACTACTATTTTAATTTGTATTGAAGTTCAGAAATTTAAAAAGCAGAGCATTTTTTATGATATCATTGTTGCTGTTAATTGAAAGTATAATTTGCTGAAACAAAAAAAAGACCAAAATGAAAGTTTTTTTCTCCCCTGCTTAAAAATGTAGCAGCTTCCTGGTTATTTTGGAACACTACTCTTACATGTGTGTCAAGTGATTGACTTTCTAGCTTCCCTTGTCCAGAGGATATTAAAATGCTAGGTTGAGGTTTAACCTTCCTATTTGGCTTTTTACTATTAACATGATGTACTAAAGTAGAGCTCGCTGAGAAGATAACTAGATATTATGTATAAAATATAACATTGATAGGTTAATAAAGATGATTGAATCCATTAATGGTCTTGTCATTTAATTTAGTAATTAACATTTATATATGGGAAAAGAAGTCATATTTCTCAGAAATCCTTATTGGTATTTTAACTTAAAGATTTCCATTCAGAGAAACAGTGCCATTTGATTTTGTTCTGACTTTGAAAGAAATGCATTTAACAATCAGTGGTTTAAAACAAACTTTAAAATAGACTTCACAGGAAGTAAGATTAACTGGATATAAACACAATAGACATGGTATTAAAAGATAGATATGGGGGTTTGGTAGATCCTGAATAACTGATTTTTCTATCTTATGGGATAAAGGTATAGTTACATTCTGATGAACCATTCAGAAATAAAAAAAACTCAGTCTTAAAAAAAACTACATCTCTTTATTGCAGAGTTTATGTTTTTTGGAAAAATACAAAATGTAGCATTGATAAAATTGAAGCATATTGAAAGGTAAGCAAAGGGAAAGGTCCTTTTAGATTGAGGGCAACAGTGCAGCATTCCCATCTCCCTCCACAGCTGAAGGAAAACAATACCTTTAATAAAAATGAGTTAGATTTTCATTACAGCTTGAGTTAAACGGAGTTACAAAAACATCCTCTGATACATTCATTCATAGAGGTCTTATGCATAAATATATAGTAAATATCCTGTGAAATGGTAGGGATCTCATCATGCATTATTATCTTTTTGTGCTCAGACTTCACATTCAGTCTCTGTATACAGCTTGATTAGAATCATGAAAACAATGTGAAGATAATTACTTAGAGGGATAGTTTGACAATATATTCAGACATTGTAACATATACTGATGGGTAGAGAAAAAACAATATATCTTTTGAAACAATATATCAGATTCTCAACTTCATTTTTAAGGAAGTATTTTAAGGAAATGCATATTAGCATGAATGTGTAACTACTTAAACTCCTCAGAAAAGCTTTTCAGCTATTGCTAAAAAAAGGAAGTTTAAATAACCATGTGAATACTAGGACCTTTTTCCCCCCACATATATATGCTGAAGATAATTTGATCCAATAAGTTACAAACTAAGTAGAGATTTATGGAATTAACTCACCAATAGGAAGAGTACACATCAATAAAAGTAAATATTTTTCAAGAAATATAAGTTTTTTGATGTTAATTCTGTTATAAAATATCTCAAGAACATCATTACAACAGTGTGATAAATAATATACAAATGATCTCTTAAAATACCATGAATAATAGGGAGCCAGCTTCCCAAAAAATGTTATTCTGTTAATGTCAATATCTTGCTTCTCGAAAATGACTTTGTAAAACCCGATAAATATTCTCAGCAATCTTTTCTAATAATAAACATCTACTGTTGCTATTAATTAGATTGTAGACTTTTATACATAGTAAACAAAATAGCTTTATGTGAATGTGACAAATACCATAGTGTTTCCAATGATTTTTGCCGCGATGAAACAGCATATTGCAGCATCTACCATTTTCCAGGAATTGTAGTCCCACATTCATACCACTGTACATAATTGATTTGGGTGTGACCACCTATAACTCCAAATTGGACAGGTTCCTGGCGAACGGCTCTGAAATAGCCTAAGAGGAAAAATAATTTAATTCTAATAGGTGCTGTGTTATATTTTTGCTCTAACTTACAAAAGATCAAAGGATGTCATTGAATGGCTGAAGATTACTCTCTGGGTGAATCAGGGTTATTTAGAAAACTGAATAGCAACAGATGCCGTGATATCTTTCCTTAGGTAGTAATGGCTGGCTAAAATCATGGGGCACCTGAAAAATTGTTGACATGTGCCTTAGCAAATTAGGACAAGATGGTTGATAGATGTCTGAGAGCAGTTTCAACTGTTTATTAATATCTTCATAGATCTTATTAAGCCATTTTTTAGTATGGTTGGTATTTTTAAGAGCTAGTGAACAAAATGTTACTGAAAAGTCTAATCAAATACTTGAAAATCTTTAAAGAACCTCTCGGAGATTGCTGAGGAATATGGACATGCTTAGACAAGGATTAAATTAATTTTCAGTCTTTAAATTCTCATCATGCAGCTTGGTGCTAATGTGTGTCTTTAGCAAGTTACAGAGGTTATTCATTTCTCAGCAGAATTCTATTTTAACAGTATACAGTCATTTTTAAGGCAAATAATACTTTTAAAAAATTCGTTAGTAATAAAATTTTCATTAAACCTTTTTTTAAGGGAATAAAAAAATAATGCAGATGTGGTCAGTATGACAAAAACCATAAAAGTAATACATGAAGGATTTAAGTTTGGGAAATACTTCCATTTTTTAGATGTTTTTCCAAATTCAGATTTTCTTGAAGCAGAATGCATCTATATATGTCTCTGTAATATCCCTTGGCTCTAAGTTTCTCAGTTGAGAAACTCTGAAGTCTTCATTTTTTTTCTAGCCGGATAATTAGAGCAATGGTACTATAGAATTCTTTTTAAATTGATTGCTTTCCTCACCTTGATCTTTCTGTGTTAATCTGTAAAACCCTCTTGCTTAGGAGGAGGATCAGAAAACATACCTTCTTTGGTGGGTAATTGGTCAGAAGTGAGTTGCTGTCCCGTGCGTCCATCTAAAAATGAATCCACAAACTGGCAGTGATCTTCTCCATGGCCCCTCTGATCGCCTATGTTATAAAATTTTCCTGAAGACCCGGAAATTAAAAGGATAATAAGTGTTACTTTCTTTGATATGGGACAATTCTGAAATAACCAAATTATATCAAATAATCATCTTTCCTGTCCTTACACATTTTTTCCCCTAGGATCGTCTCTCAATTGGTGTCCTTGTTTTCACTCTTGCCTCCCTATATTCTTCTTCCCTTGCCTCTGCACAGATTAGTGATCTTTTAAAAATGCAAGTCAGATAATGTTATTCACCTCCATAAATCTCTCCAGCAGTCTCCCATTACTCAGAGTAAAACCCAGAGTTCTTAACTGATTTCAAAGCTGCCTGTCTACTGCTCCCCTTACGGTCTCAACCACACTAGTGGAGTTGGCTGGGCATATTCTGCCTCAGGCCTTTGTGCTTTCTCTTTTTTCCACCTCTAAATGCTTATCCCTAGACCTTTGCTCTGTTGGTTCCTTCTCATAATTTTTTTCTTAATGGGAGTTACCTTTACAGAGGCCTTCCTTACCCATTATAACCTAAGGAGCTTCCAATCCTTGTTCAGCCATTCTCTCTTTTAAAATTATTTTTCAAAGCACCTATCTGAAATTTTATTTATTTACATATTTGTTGTCTGTCTCTCCCTACTAAGGAAGGGAAGGAGAGGCCAGCTACATGAAGCAGGAATGTTGGCTTTGTACCCAGCACCTAGAACATTGGTACAAAGTAGATAATAAATATTTGTTGAATGACTGAACAAATATCTACCATTCTATGTTGGGGCCAGCCTTATTATATATTTGTTGATAATTTTTACTGTGCTAATATAGAAGAGAATATTATAACCTATAGGGTATGGAGCAAAGTGTTAATAGACCTTCTGACGTCTTAAAGATGCCATATTCCTTCCATGATTGTTGTTAGATACATTCATTTGATTATCAATAGGCGTTCTTTCCTTGGATGGCTGTAACAAAATCGAGCTTGTTTGTGCTAGTGCCTGTACGTTCAAGTTTGCCATTATGACAAATTGTGTTTTCATTATTTGCTTTCTAATAGCATGTCTTAAATTCTTGTTTTCTGGGATAACTATTTCAATAACATTTTGCTCAGAGGAAAACTTGTATTTACATCACCCCATAGTGCCTGGAACTCTCCAGAGAAAAGATCAAGTTATACTCATAGAATGATGGAAAACATTCCCTGAAGGCAAAGGCTCAAAACAGGGCTTGTAGCCTTGCTTACCTGTGAGGGAGTCACTCAGATAAATCTTGTATCTGAGAGAGTTGCACAGCTGCACTCCTACAAATTTTTTATACCATGTCCTTTTGACATATTGTTTGCCCTTACATTCTGAGTAAGAGTCTGAATTAAAGGGTCTTTCAGTCCAGATGGCATCTCTTCCTGCTGCATAAGAAAAACACATGGTTTGAGTTAAGTATCTGACTCTTGGGTACTGAAGAGCTGTTTTAAAAGCTTTAAAAAAGCAGTTTGTAAAGTTGACTGTCAACTTGCTGATACCTGTTTTTTTCCAGTGCTAAATATTGGAGCCAAAAAATATTATAAAGGCTTAAACAAGTAAACTCCCAAATAAGTTCCTGTCAGTAATGAGATAAATCTCAGAGCAGTACATTTAGGTGTTGAATAATCTCTGAAGTACTAGATGAAGACTGTACTTTAGGAGGAAATTTAGATTTCTCTTTTGCAGCATATTATAAAATCTAAACAGCTGCTTTAATGTGACTTGTTATCATAAGTGGAAATTAGAGTGTTATATCTTAATTATTAAACAGAAAATTTGAGATGGCCTTGTAAATAAGTAAAAGCAAGTTTCAAAATATCCAGTTTATTCCTAGAACATCATAAGCTGTCAGCGTTATTCAATGTGTTAGGTAAACATTCACGCTTGATTGATATTCTAAGAAGACTAAATGGAAAAAAGTGAAATCATGATTTGAATTCTGCCATGTCTGTTTATTTGAATCAATTTAGAAAAGTGTGTAGTGTGTTCCCATTGAGACAGGTACTTACCAGAAACTGGCTCGCTCACTCTTGGGTCCGCTGAGGAAAAATAGCAAACACACAAGTCAGACGTTATTTGTTCAAGTTCCAGCATTCCAGTGGCAGAGTGAAGAAGATGGGTACTTAAAGTTGTTAAGAAATCTTATTTGCAAAACGGTACACTCCTGAAGACTAAATTTGAAAGTTTGTTTTGTTTTGGAAATTGTTGTATAATCTGCCAGGTATTCAGCTGTATCTGTTAGCAGTGATTTGAGTAGTTAGGAGCCTTTGTTACGTTTCCAGCTTCCACCTTATTTTCAAAAGCTTCCCCTTTTAGTTTCATACAAAAACTATTCATGGTAAAATCACCAAGATACCATGAACTGTAATTGGCATAAAATTATGCAAATAACAATGCCGTATGTACAGATGTATCTTGTTAAGGAATTTGATCTTGGCAGGTCTAATTAGAAAATTTCACAGCTGCTTATCATAAGAAAGCTATCATGAATTCCCTTTCTGGATATACTTGCTGATATTTTGATTTCAGGCATACAGGGGGGCATTCATTCACTACGTTTTTGAGAATAGATTGATTATGCTTTTTTATTTTCTTTTTAATTTCATGAATTCCCTTTCTGGATATACTTGCTGATATTTTGATTTCAGGCATACAGGGGGGCATACAGGGGGGCATTCATTCACTACGTTTTTGAGAATAGATTGATTATGCTTTTTTATTTTCTTTTTAATCGGTACGCCTTTTTTTCTGACATCAAGATGAATGAGGAAAAGTATGAGTGGTGTTTCTCTATGGGTACCATCACCAATTTGCTTATTTTTATGGATAGTTTTCTAAAAATTCAAGAAACTGAATAGACACATTCTTTAGCTGGGTTCAAACAATCTCCTTATGCAAAACATTGTTCCATTGTGACCCTTTACATCCTTGTTGGGAATTACTGTTGATGTGATGATTACCTGATTCAGTACTGAATCCCACTGTGTTGCTGACTGGGCCTTCACCGAGTGGGTTTTTAGGTTTCACCTGGAATTCATAGCTGTATAGGGAGAAATTAAAAAATTCATATATTCTTGAGGGGTAGGAAGCAACATTCCCTTGTTATACTGACATCCTCCTGATTCTATTTTGAAATCATGATGACAGTGAATGGTAATGTGTTCTAGAAGCAGGTTGAAGAAAGAAAAATGCTTTCTTTTTTTTTTTTTTTTTTGTCTTTTTCCGTGTCCGGCAACGGATCGCAACCCTCAGTGTTGCCCCCGTACCGGACCGGGACCAGCAACGGGATCGCAACCCTTGGCGTTGCCCCCACGCCTCGCTCAGCCAGTGAGCGGGAACCGGTCTGCATGTGGGATCCGAACCCTCAGTGGGAGCGCCGCTGCGCTTCCCAAGCGGCGCACTACAGCAGTGCGCCACCGGGCCGGCTCGAAAAATGCTTTCTTAATTTTACTTTCTAAGCAGCTTGTCTAATGTTTTGTATAAGAAAGGGATTAAGGTAATAAAAAAGATGGTTGTCTTCTAAGAATTCCAAATTAGTAGAAATAACTGGGCAGGTTGGTAATGGACATATGGGAAAGAAGTATGTGGTGGATCCAGGTTAATTCCAGCAGTGAGGAGCCTCAGGTTCCTTTAGATGTCTGAGCTACTTCTTTGGGGCAAAGAAGTGGGACAGTTCGTTTTTATTCCCTATTATCTCAATCCTGAATATAACCTTGGACTCTGGCAATGTTCCTTATTGTGGGGTTTTAACTACTTATGACAGGATCACATGATAGGGTGGCAGTGGGGAAAGTGTTTAAAATGCAGATTTCTTGTCCCAGCGTAGCTACTGAATAAATTTCTGAGGGGATTCAGGTAGGAATTTATAAAAAGTTCCTTAGTTGAGCCTTGTGCCCACTGATATTTGAGAACTATTCGACTGAACTATGGGAAGAGATACACATGAAAATGTCTCTTTGTAAGACTTCCTAGTTATATCTCCTGGAACTCAGGTCTTTGGATTACAGGAAGCCATGATGTCTCCAAAAAAAGGGGCATGTTGCTTCATAAAGAACATGAGCACAAAGAGACTTTTTTTCAACCTCAATAACCCAGAGGCCCTTATATTGGGCAGGCCCTTAACCCTTTATTTTAAAAAAAAAACAAAAGAACCCCAACAGATCCCTTGGAATTATAAGTGCCTTTGATTCTATCCTTAAGAATTACTAAGTTGTTGTGCAGTATTTGATAAATTTTATTCATAAAATATGTAAGCAGAGCAAATCCTTTTCAGAAATTCAAACAGGAAAGCAATCTGCCATTTGCCTGAAATTGAGTTTCTTTTAGCAGTAAACTTAGCAGCAAAATAACTTTGAATTTAAAATTAACCTGAGTCAGCTGATAGTATTGTGTGGGTCCCATATTTGTATGAGGCTTTTGGAAGATAATTTCCATCTTTGAGAAGTTGGTAATTAAACAAGAATGCAGAACACACACACAAAAATAGATATTTTATAAACAAGTGAAAAACAGAAGAATGACAGTTCTCAGTATAGATGGTACAAAGCAATAAAAATAACTTTCTGGGGCCCAAGGAGTCAAGTTTCTTGATCACTGAAGCATTGCTTTAAAACACTGCTACAATCTAGTGCAGTATTTGTATGAGGCTTTTGGAAGATAATTTCCATCTTTGAGAAGTTGGTAATTAAACAAGAATGCAGAACACACACACAAAAATAGATATTTTATAAACAAGTGAAAAACAGAAGAATGACAGTTCTCAGTATAGATGGTACAAAGCAATAAAAATAACTTTCTGGGGCTCAAGGAGTCAAGTTTCTTGATCACTGAAGCATTGCTTTAAAACACTGCTACAATCTAGTGCAAAGGCAGATTCTAGTGTTGTAACAATCAGCCAGTTTTTGAGTGCTTACTATGTATCAGATGCATTAATCATTCTACATATATAAAATAACACAAATACCACGAGATATTTAAATTATTCTAATTTTCAGTTGAGAACAGTGAGGCTCAACCATTGTACTATTACTGCCTTTGCTTTTCCAAAATTCAAAACTTTGTGAAACAGAGATTAAAACCCTTCCTCATAGCATTTTTAATGAGAATGCAAATGAAAACATTTTGTAAACTGAGCAACTGATGTAAGGTACCATTGTCATTTGCAATAAAAGAATGCTGATATAAAAACTCCTGTGTTATTCATTTAAATAAATCATACATGGGGTGTTTTCACATGGAAGAATTCCAGAGATTAAATTCTTGCTAAGAGGCCTAATGGCCTGAAAACAAAACCAACAAACAAAACAAAACAAAAAACTCCACAAAACTATGGTGAATTGAAAATGGAAAAAAAATCACAGGCATCTGGATTTTGATTCAAGTGGGCAATGCATTCCACGTTCATTTCAGACCATTGCCAAAAGCCCTGTGCTTTGGCCAAGTCTGATTGCTGGAATTATCTCCATGTTTTTTTATTTCACAGTTATTACACTTCAGCTCCATTTTTAGCATGGCCAGAAATATTCATATGCTACTTTTTCTGCTTTTTGCCAACATTTTATGATATTTGACAAGTTTTGAAGAAATTGTTTTAAGCTAAATGTAATTAACAACATGAGAACTAAAAGGCACATTTTTTGGCTAATCAAACCCTACATAAACAAACAAAATTGTGATGACAAAATCTTTTCCAAGAAGCACATTCTGTCACAAGATAAAGGACAACATAGGTCTAAGGGTAATGTCTCAGAGAAAATATTGACTGTATATAGGAAATAAGCATAAGATGTTATTTTAAAATTTCAGAAAACAAAGTTTCTTGAAATAAAAAATATGGTGTAAGTTCAACTTTAAATGGAAGATTTGGAGGGTAAAGCTGAGAACATTTTACAAATACTAGAACAAAAAAGTCAAAAAGGTGAAAAATGAAAGAAAATAGGAAAATTGTGGGAGTCTTTCAGAGAGTACAGTAACCAACTAGTAGGAATTCCAGAAGAGAGAGGAGGGAAAAAAGAATTTCCTAGAACTGAAAGACATGAGTTTCCAGATGGTAAAGGCTTACTCTGTGCCCATCAAAATGAAAAAGAAAAAGGCCTAAGTAAAGCACACAAATTGCAGAATTTCAGGGTATTGGGGAATAGAGACATGGGCTTAAAAACTTCTGAGAAAAAAATAAAGGTCTCATTCAAAGTATCCAGAATCAAAATGACATTTGACTTCTTGATAGCGACACTGGAAGTTAGAAAACAATGGAACAATACCTTCAAAAGTCTTCATTTTATCCTAAAATCCATGTCCCGCTAAACAATAGTATCAAAAGTAAAATACAGACATATTAAAGCATGTAAGGACTCAAAAATATTGTGTTCCACAACTTTTACTCGAGATGTATTTCTCAAGAAATGCCACAAAATAAGGGAGTAAACAAAGGAGCAAGAAGACATGAGGTGCAGGAATTGGGGTATTAATATATGCAAACGGTGATTGTGAGAGATTCCAGATGAGATGTCATATAAAAAAATAAAAAATTCAGAAAACACAGAGATGACTATTTGACCATTTTGAGAATTGGTCAGTCTACAAACATGTATTTAATTAACAGAAGAAATAGCTAAAAATAAATGTTTATCTCTGGGAAACAGTTTAGGAATAGGGAGGAACTGCTTTTGTAACATTTGAGTTTTAAAACCATCTACATGTATTTCTGATGAAAATTAGATGTAAAAAGACATTTATAAGACGACTACATCAAAATGAACATCTAAATGGAGTGCAGTCCAGGTGACACCGTAGTCAAGCCTTGGGGCCCCGTTGTGGGTAAGCCAGGTAAATCCCGAGAAAAATAATCTTCCCAAGCATCAACCAGGAGGCAGCATGGCCCAGTGGTTAAGAACATGGGTTCTGGAGCCAGAAAGGTGGGTTCACAGTTCACTAACGTATGATTTTAAGGTAACTTAACCTCTCTGAGCCTCAATTTTCTCATATACAAAAATAAGGATAATAATGTTATCTGTGAGCATACTATTAATTATAGTAATTATAACTTCCCAAGGGTATTAAAAAAAAGTATCTGTGAGGTTTTTGTGAGGATTAAATGAGATAATGCATGTAAAAGCAAGGTGCCTGACACAATTATAAGTATTCACTAGTATTATATTTATATCTCTAAAAAATTTCTCTTAAAGAGATGCTTCTAGGGCCGAGCCTGTGGCGCACTCGGGAGAGTGTGGCGCTGGGAGCGCAGCAGCGCTTCCACCGCGGGTTCGGATCCTATATAGGGATGGCCGGTGCACTCACTGGCTGAGCGCGGTGCGGCCGGTCTCAAAAAGGACAAAAAATAAAATAAAATAAAATAAAGAGATGCTTCTATTATTGGGGAATGTGACAAACACTGCCATAGAACTCTCAAGGCAGACCTCTTCTATGTCCACATATTTGCTTTTTGATTGTAAAAGTTATAATGGCATAATCAATGGGTTACTGGGAAGATTGAAAATTTAGCATGTAAATCTTTCTGCCTGCCATCAAAATAGCTCCATAGTCTGAGAAGAAGTAAAATAGTTCTGTAAGATTTAATTGAAGAGTCTAAAAAGCAATCCATCGAAAAGTGAAAACTAGAGTTTCAGAAAGTGTGATTTGTGGTTCATGAGCAAAACTGTCAGAGACAGGGAACTCCTAACCTGCAGGATCTCACTTCAGGCTGATTTCTCCAAAGGTGGGAGAGGTGGTAGCAGCCTCAGGGTGACCTTCAGGTCTGGTTAGGGCAGACGCTTCTGTCTTTCCTTCATCCCTTTTGTTCCTCCCTGCAATCTTTTCCCTCTATTTTTGCCCATTAATATAGAGCTGAATTATATTTTTCATCATTTGGTGAATTTTGTAGTTATATTCTCCCTATTGGTTAAAAAGTTGGTTTTCACTCTTAACAAAAGCCTCATAACCTCCAGCAAACTGCTTTTTATACAGTTGTTTGTTGGTTTGAGTTGTTTGGCTAGCTGAGTTTTACCCTTAATGTAGTCTTGAAATATTTGAGCCCCATTCAGG